GTCAATGATCTCCTTGCCAATGGTGTAGTATCCAAGGGCATAGTTATTGGCAGCATCTTCCTTGACTGTGATGAGCTGCTCAGGGTGGAAGAACTTCAGACTTTGCTAAAATCTCTCAAACAAGCTGCAGCTGGTGACAGCATGCCCCAAACCTATCAATAAAAGGCCCAAGACTTGGCACTAGCGCCAGCCTGCCTTGCTTCACAGCTGGGCCTTGCCTCCTACATAGCAGCTCTCCCACTGCAATCACAGCCAATTGGCCTGGAGGTCAACTCCTCCCAGAGATGTTAACAGCAACCAAGGCTCAACTATAAGACTGTGCACACAGCCCACACAGGCTGCATGTAGAGTGCCCAGCTCAGGTAACTAGGGAGGTTGAGTCACTGGACCCTACAGGACACCTACTACCCAAAGCCACAATACCAATTCCAGGAGACATAGTAGCTCTACCTAATACATAGAAACAAACACAGGGAAGCGGCCAAAATGCAGAGACAAAGAAACATGTCACAAATGAAAGAAATGGAAGCAAGAAAACTACTGGATACAGAGTTCAAAACTATGGTTACAAGGTTACTCAAGGATCTTCATGAGAGCTTCAAGGGACTTAGTGAGACTTTCAAGGACCTTAGTGAGAATTTCAATGACATGAAATAGAATGTCAGAAATTAAGCATACACTACCTGAAATAAAGAACAATTTACAAGGACTCAACAGTAGAGTAGAGGATTCTGAGAATCAAGTCAACGATTTGGAATATGAGGAAACCAAAACAAAACAAAAGAAAAAAACAACACCTAATCAGAAGAGCAAAAAGATAAAAGAATCCAAAAATATGTAGATGGTGTAAGGAGCCTCTGGGACAACTTCAGGCATACCAACATAGGCATTATGGGGGTGCCAGAAGAATAAGAGAGAGAGCAAGAAATTGAAAACCTATTTGAAGAAATAATGACAGAAAACTTCCCAGACCTGGTGAAAGAAATAGACTTACAAATCCAGGGAGCACAAAGAGTCCCAAACAAGAGGAACCCAAAGTGGCCCACACAAGACACATCATAATTAAAATGCCAAGGGTTAAAGACAAAGAGAGAATCTTAAAAGCAGCAAGAGAAAAGCAGTTAGTTACTGACAAGGGATCACCCATAAAACTGTCAGCTGACTTCTCAACCGAAACTTTGCAGGCCAAAAGGGAGTGGCAAGAAACATTCCAAATGATGAATAGTAAGGACCTACAACCAAGATTACTCTATCCAGCAAAGCTCTCATTTAGAATTGAAGGTCAGATAAAGAGCTTCATAGAAAAAGGAGTTCATCACCACCAAACCAGTATTATATGAAATGTTGAAGGATATAGAAGAAGAAAAAGAAGAAGAGATAAAAATATGAACAATAAAATGGCAATAAATACATATCTATCAACAATCAAATCTAAAAATCAAAATAAATCAATAAGAAATCTAATGAACAAAATAAACTGGTGAATAGAACAAAATCAGAGGCATGGAAGCATGGAACAGACTGATCAATCTCAGAAGGAAGGGGGAAGAAATTAACCAAAGATCTTACCTATGGACACAGACAGTAGGGTAGTGAAGGCCTGGGGCTGGGCAGGAACCGGGTGGAGGGGACAATGTGGGGAGGCACATCTGCAATAGTCTCAACAATAAAGATTTTTTAAAAAAGAAAGAAATATGAGTTCCCACCCAGCAAGTGTGGCTCAGTGGTTGAGAGTCAACTTTTAACCAGAAGGTCACTGTTTGATTCCCAATCAGGGCACATGCCCTGGTTGCTGGCTCGATCGTCAGTGGAGGCATGCAGGAGGCAGCCAATCAATGATTCTCTCTCATTGTTAATGTTCCTATCTGTCTCTGTCTCTCCCTCTCCCTTCCTCTCTGAAGTCAATAAAAATATATTTATAAAAAGAAATATGAGTTCCTCAATCAGGTATAAATGAAATCCATATCAGATAAGATCAGGTAGTTAGCACAGTGCCTGGCACATAGGTGGCATTCTCTAGAGGACAATACCACATCCTGTGGTATATGTTGTGTCCCACTACCCAGAGTAATATGGGATTATGACAGTTAATAATTATATTTACTGTGTATTGAGCACCCAACATAAAAAATAATTATTTTTCTAAACCAAGTATCCAAAGATACCCAAGGTAAACAAATGTACTAAGAAGATTATTTAACTAAATCTGTTCTGATGGACAATTTTGATGTTCCATTTCCCCCTATTGTAAACAAAGCCTACAGAATCACTCATGAAGCCTTAGTTTTAGCAAAGAATAAATGTATAAAAAACAATTGTTATGGGAATTTTAAAACATAAAATATTTTAAAACATAAGATTATATTTTAATGCATTATTAATTATCTCCCTGGAAAAATATTGGAAGTGGAATTACTGAACCAAAATATCAAATATTTTTATTTTGTTAATCCTCACCTGAGGGTATTTTTCCATTGATTTTTAGGGAGAGTGGAAGAGAGAGGGAAGGACAGAGAGAAACATTGATGTGAAAGAAACACATTGATTGGTTGCCTCCTGTAAGCCCTGGACCAGGGCCGGGGCTGGGGAGAAGCCTGCAACCGAGGTATGTGTGCCCTTTGTTCTGCAGGCCAATGCTCTATCCACTGAGACAAACTGGCTAGAGCAAATATTTTTGTTTTAAAACAATATAGAAAACTAGAGGCCCAGTGCACGAAATTTGTGCACGGGGAGGGGGGGCGGAGAAGAGTGTCCCTCAGCCCAGCCTGCACCCTCTCCAATCTGGGACCCCTTGGGGGATGTCTGACTGCCAGTTTAGGCCTGATTCCTAAAGGGGCAGTCGGACATCCCTCTCACAGTCCAGGACTGCTGGCTCCCAACTGCTCACCTGCCTGCCTGCCTGACTGTCTCTAACCGCTTCTGCCTGCCAGCTTGATCACCCCCTAACCACTCCCCTGCCAGCCTGATCGACGCCTAACTGCTCCCCTGCTGGCCCAATTGCCCCCAACTGCCCTCCCCTGCTGGCCTGATTGCCCCCAACTGCCTTCCCTTGCCAGCCTGATCGCCCCCAACTGTCCTGCCCTGCTGGCCTGGTACCCCCAAGTAACCTCCCCAGCAGCATGGTTGTCCTCAACTGCCTTCCCTTGCCACCCCGATCGCCTCCAACTGCCCTCCCCTGCCAGCCTGGTCCCCCCCAACTGCCCTCCCCTGCTGGCCTGGTCCCCCCCAACTGCCCGCCCCTGCTGGCCTGGTCCCCCTAACTGCCCTCCTGTGCCAGCCTGGTTCCCCCCAACTGCCCTCCCCTGCCGGCGTGGTCGCCCCCAGCTGCCCTCCCCTGCAGGCCTGGTCACCCACAACTGCCCTCCCCTGCAGGCCTGGTCCCCCCCCAACTGCCCTCCCCTGCAGGCCTGGTCCCCCCAACTGCCCTCCCCTTCAGGCCTGATCACCCCCAACTGCCCTCCCCTTCAGGCCTGATCACCCCCAACTGCCCTCCCCTGCAGGCCTGGTCCCCCACAACTGCCCTCCCCTTCAGGCCTGATCACCCCCAACTGCCCTCCCCTTCAGGCCTGAACACCCCCAACTGCCCTCCCCTGCCGGCCCAGTTACCCCCAACTGCCCTCCCCTGCCGGCCATCTTGTGGCTACATGGGTGCAGCCATCCTGTTACCACATGAGGGTGGCCATCTTGTGCTAGGGTGTGATGGTCAATTTGCATATCACCTCTTTATTATGTAGGATTGCCCTTCAGAAAAATTTTACCAACACACTCAACAAGGGCAGGGAAAAGTGCATGTGTTCCCTAATCCCTCAACAAATCTATTACACAGTTTCTTGTAATCAAACCTATCACTGTTGTCCTTTTTTTTTTATCCCTCACCCAGAGGATATTTTTCCATTGATTTTAGAGAGAGTGGAAGAGAGAAGGAAAGCCAGAGAGAAATATCGATGCCGGCTAGGGCACTGTTTTCCTTAAGTGTTCATCTCTGTTATATTTTTAAAAGCCTTCCACACAAAAAACTTATGTGGAAATGGTGGCTACTTATTCTGATCTTGTTATAACAAGAGAGTCGGGCACTTTCACTTGTGTTTGGCAAACTTAAAGGCAGGCAGGGGAATAGGAAAGCTTTAGAGTGGAAACAGGGAAGGCTTCAGGTATTCTGATTAGAGGTCATTGGCATGGGGAACCTGGAGGAACTTAACTAGAAGCAAGGCATTTTTTATGACTGGGTTGGCTGCAGTCATTGTTCAAGTCCTGAAGTTTGAAGCAGAGGCTATTTGGCTTCCTGGGCTGCTTGCTGTAGAGGTTGCGGATCACAGTTCTATTGTCATATATGGTCTTGTCATTGTCTGTGTTATATTCAATCATTGTTTTATTCTGCTTCAAGTATAATTCCATTTAGATTTAAATACCAATTCATTAGAAATTTTATGTTTGTGCATGTAAGGAAAAAAGGAACATTTCAGCCGAAACCAGTTTGGCTCAGTGGATAGAGCGTCTGCCTGTGGACTGAAGGGTCCCGGGTTCGATTCCGGTCAAGGGCATGTACCTGGGATGCAGGCACATCCCCAGTGGGAGATGTGCAGGAGGCAGCTGATCAATGTTTCTCTCTCATCGATGTTTCTAACTCTCTATCTCTCTCCCTTCCTCTCTGTAAAAAATCAATAAAATATATTTTTTTAAAAAAGGAACATTTCATTTTGAGGGAAATATTGTTCCTATTTTTTTCTAAATGCAACATTATGCTCTTTGTACAACATTAAAGTTCACATTCTTACCATTTTATGGGGGTTGATCTTCGTTCTTTCAATGGAATTGAAGAGCAACATTCTTAAGACTCTTTCCCTGGACCGCCCAACTCACTGAAGAAAAAAAAGTCTCTGCGGTTTTCATTAAAATTCTTTCTTTGACAAACTTCTCAAGAAGAGGTAAAAGACAAAAGGGCCCAGGGAGGTAAAGGGGGACCTGCGGGAAAGAGGCGGTGTGTGGCTGGCAGTCCTGGCTAGTGGGCGGGGCTCGGGGGACGCACGCTCACGTGATCTGCCGGGCGCAGCTGTGGGCACCAGTCCGGGTGCCCGCCTTCCTTCCCTGCGGTCCGACCCGAGCTGCTTGCGAACTGCTAATTGTTGCTCCAGGTTCTTTCAGGTCAGTGCGAGGGCCTTCCTCGCTGCCCGCGGAATACTGGAATGGGCGAGGAGGAATGGGCACGGAAAGGAAAAAGGTTGGGGATGGGGTCTGGGTGGAGGGAAGCCGGCCTGACTATAGATAGAGATGGCGGTGGGGAAATGACTAAGAGGGAGCGAGCGGCCGATGGGTGGAGGGTGGGGAAGGCGGACACCCCCAAGTACCCATACCCCCTTTCTCTGCACCCCCTTCTCGCTGCCCTCCGTCCATTTTGGAGCCGGAGATGGTGAACTGGGGGACACCCCAGCAGTGAGACAGTGGAGATTAACCCCCTCGTCTACTCTGTGCCTAGAGAAAAAAGTTGACCTTCATGGTGGGGAGGCGAGTTGCCTCAGGGAGAGAAGGACGCAGGGATCCAAAATTAGGGTGGAAAACGTCCTGATCTGGCGCCCCAGGCGTGAAAAGAAATGGCGTCTGGGGTGTGGGGAGCGGAGGAGATCGGGGAGGAAAACGTTGGGTGACTAGGGCCAGGATTCAGGAAAGGGATCGGAGTCCCTGTGCAACCACCGAACGCCCAGCTACTGTCTCCCCTGTTTGTCTGCAGGTCTGCGTGTCTGTTGTTCTCAGCACTTGGCTAGGCTAGAAAAGGAAGGAACCTATCCAGAATTCCCGCAGGTCAGTTAAAGGAGGGGTGTCCCAAAGGGGCGGGGAGTGTGGGCGGCACGTCCCAAGCAGAATTTGGGGCCCCGCTGTCCTCCTCCAACACATTTACACACACACTGCGCCGAGCAAATGTAGAGAAAATGGCAGGGCCTGCCAGAGAAATGGTTGGCTCACGTGTGTGGAAGGAATGGTGAGGAAAGGGTGGCAGAAGGAGGGCGGGGCCCGGTTAGGGGAACTCTGAGAAGGGGCAAGATGCCAGTACTATCCAGACCTGCATTCCACCCCGAAGTCCTCAGTCTCCCTTGTCTCCTCTGTGTCTCCTTTTTCCCCCACCCCACCCCCAGGACAGGAAAAGGAGGGGACATCTCAACATGGAAAAACTCTGCAGTGTAAATGAAGGAATGCCTGAGAATCAAGGAAAGATGGAAAATGAACAGCCTCAGAATGCTGCAACGCCAGAAGTAGCTCATACTCTGGAAGACAAGGAAAAGTCAGAAAATGAAGGAAAGATAGAAAACAGGGGAGAGACAGAAAATGAGGAAATACTAGAGGATAAAGAGAAGCCAGAGAAGGAGGGAAAGCCAGTGATAGAGGGAAAGTCAGAGAGCCAGGGAAAATCAAAAGAAGAAGGAAAACCAGAGAGTGAGGGAAAGCCAAATGAAGAAGGAAAACCAGCCATGGAACCAAGGGCTGCAGGAAAGCGCCCAGCTGGGGATGATGTACCTAGAAAAGCCAAAAGAAAAACCAACAAGGGGCTGGCTCAGTGCCTCAAGGAATACAAAGAGGCCATACACGATATGCATTTGAGCAATGAGGAGATGATAAGAGAATTTGATGAGATGGCTAGGGTAGAGGATGAGGTGAAGAAAACCAGACAGAAATTGGGGGGGTTTATGTGGATGCAAAAAAGTTTACAGGACCCCTTCCACCCCAGAGGCCCTAGGGAACTCAGGGGTGGCTGTAGGGCCCCACAAAGGGGCTTTGAAGACATTCCTTTTGTGTAGTGCCCATGGCAGGCATTTGCCAGGCCCAGGGCTTTAAGCTTATGCTAATGTTTTGCTTTAGTTGTCACTCTGTTATCCAGCTGCAGCCCTCTATGTTTCAGTAGCAGATTTTTGTCCATTGCATGGAATAATGTTTATGATGCATTGTAAAATTAAAAAGAAAAGTTTGCAGAACCATATATATGGCATCAGTCCATTTTTGTAAAACTGCAAAGATATTTACTAATGATCTATGTACAGGAAGAAAAAAACTCTGAAAGCTGAGTCTACTAAAAGCTTAATAGTGGTTATCTGTGGGTAATTTTTTTGTTCATATTACTTTCATCATAAAAATAATGAAAGATAAAAAATAGGAAAACAATACCAAGCAATCAAAAGAACAGTTCAGTGCTTATGGAAAACCTGGGGACACTTAAAATTCTTATCAGCATGCAAAATGGTAAGTAAAACATTACTTCTGGGACTCAAAAGTTGTGGAGGAATCAACCTCATAGTTACATATGCATTGTTGCAAGGGATAGTCTTGTCATCTGTGAATTGGGGATAAAACGTGCCTTCCAGGACTGTGGAGAAGATCAGATGAGATACTGTATTGGGCTAGCTACTTCCCTCTCCCCTGCACTAGCAGAACCAGAGCCCCTGAATTTTCCCTGTTTTTGATGTTTGGGAGAGGATTAAGGGAGGTTCCACTTGTGTCCAGGAATAAGTCCAGGTAGCTAAGAGGTAGTTGCCACTCTCTCCTGATTACTGCCATGTCTCTTGGGCATTGTGCCTCGTCTCATGGGTCCTGCACCCTCCTAAGGCCCCTATTGCTAGTGGGCCGGAGATCATGATGGACTAAAGCAGTACAGTATCTCAACAGAAGGGTGGAGAATTCTCTGTCTACAATAGAGTTAACCCTAACTCAGGTGGGTAGTACCCATTTGTCACTTGGACCTTAATATTTTAAAAAGTTCCCAGAAAACACTCCTTTCCAATTTTTTTGTTGGTTTGTGTGTGTTTTTGCATACAGCAATCTTCACTGGATTTAGATACTGGAGATTGAACCAAGAGAAAAATCTGACTGACCAGATGCTGTGCTATTCTCACCTGTTAATCTCTTGTCTACTGACTCTTTTTTTCTTCGAAGGAATTGTCTCCCAGGAAATTTCTGTTAAGCCCCGCCTTACCATTTTAACAGGCCCATGTGGTCCCCCCACCCACCCTGGTTCTTAGCCTTTTGTTGGTTTTTATTGTTTTTAAAATAAAGTTATTTTAAGGCAGTCATAGATTTTTACAGAATTATTTCGAAGATGGTAGAGTTCTGTGTACCCCATACTCAATATCCCCTATTTTAAAATTGATTTTTAGAGAGAGAGAGAGAAAACATTGATGTGAGAGGGAAACATGATCAGCTGTCTCCTGCAGGACCCCTACTGGGGATTAAGCCAGGAAAGTCGGGCATGTGTCCTGGCTGGAATCAAATCAGCAACCTTTCAGTGCACAGGACAATGGCTAACCAACCTAGCCACACCCACCAGACTCAATATCCCTTATTATTAACATTTAAATAGTATGGCATATTTGCCACAATGAACCAATATTGATACATTATTATTTACCAAAGTATACATTGTATTCATATTCCTCAATTTTTCCCTAATGTCCTTTTTCTGTTCCAGGATCCCATCCAGGATAGATACCACCTTACATTTAGTCATTCTTGTCTCAGGCTCCTCTTGGCTGTGACAGTTTCTCAGACTCTCTCTGTTTTTGATGCCCTTGACACCCTTGAGAGGTACTGGTTGGGTATTTTGTATAATGTCCCACAATAAGCCCGGCTGGCATGGCTCAGTGGTTGAGAGTCGACCTATAAACCACGAGGTCACGGTTTGATTCCTGGTCAGGACACATGCCCTGTTGTGGGCTTGATCCCCTGTGTGGGGCATCAGTGGCTCTCTCTCATTGATGTTTCTATCTCTCCCTCTCCCTTCCTCTCTGAAATCAATAAAAAAATATATCTTAAAAAGAATAATGTCCCACAATTTCAGTTTGCTTGATTTTTTTTCTTGTGATTACACAGGGGTTAAGTGCTTTTAGGAAGAGGACCACAGAGATAAAGTGCCATTCTCATCACATCATATAAAGGATATATACTATCAGTATTATCTCTGTTGATGCTAACTTTGGTCACCTGACTGAGATAGTGTTTGCCAGGATTCTCCATGGTAAAGTTACTCTTTTATATCTCCTTTTCCATATTGTATATACTCTTTTGTTGTTGTTAATCCTCATGGGAGGATATTTTTTCCATTGATTTTTAGAGAGGATGTGAGGGAGGGGAAAGGAGAGAGAGAGGGTGGAAAGAAACATCAATCTGAGAGAGACAAATCAATTAGTTTCCTCCCGCCCCTGAGCAATGCTGGCCAGGGCTGTATGTACTCTTTGGAAGAAAGTCACTATGCACAGTCCACACTTAAGGAGTGTTCTACCTACTTGAGGGTAGAGTACCTTCAAAATTATTTGGAATTCTGCATGGGATATTTGACTTCTTCCCCTTTTATTAATTTATTCATATCAGCATGGTTTCATTAATATTTATTTGATACTTTAGATTATAATCTAATGCTACTTTTAATGTTTTGATTGCACTCATTTTAATTTTGGCCATAGGGAGCTCTTTCAGTTGGCTTTTGTATCTATTTGGTTGTGTGTGTGTGTGTGTGTGTGTGTGTGTGTGTAACACTTTCTTTCTGGCACTACAAGATACACTAGTTTTGCATATTTCTTGCCTAAGTTCTAGAATTAGCCATTTCTCCAAGGAGTCCTGATACCTTAAGTTGGAGAACAGTATTAAAAACTAGGATCTGGGTGCTAGGTGTACTCATTACTGTTGGGATATCATTGCTTCTAGGCCCTCAGAGTTGACAGAGTAAGGAGATATATGGATATATAATAATCTGTGTGTATATATACATATATGTATTACATATATACATCTTTATATATGTTTACTTCTTTATATATTTTTAATATTTATATACAGAGATAATTTTGCCTATAGTCTTATAGACTACATTCATTTCCAAACTTACTTATGTCAGCACCTTATTCTTCCCATCCCTCTCAGTAAGGTTGTTTCATATTTGTAATACACTTACATTCTGCATTTTAGGAGTACTGTTATAAACTATTTTTAAATTTCAAATTTCAATTGTCCATATCTGGTATATAGGAAAATAATTAACTTTTGTATATTAATCTTACATCCTGAAACTTTGTGGCCAGGAGTTTGTCAATGTTTTGGCATTTTCTATATAGACGATCATGTCCTCTGAAAATAGAGACAATTATATTTCCTCCATTCCAATCTGTATATATTTTATTTACTTTTTGGTCTTATTGCACCAGCTAGGACTACCAGTATGATGTTTAATAGGAGCAATGAGAAAGGACATACTTACGTTGTTCTTGCTCATAGGGTGAAGTGTCCTCTTGTTTAAGTTCTTTATTGTTTAAGTATTACATGTAGTACATATGTCTCCTTTTTTCCCCATTGACCTCTCCCTGGCCACCCCCACTGCCCCAGCACATGCCCTCACCCCCCTAGTGTCTGTGCCCCTTGGTTATGCTTATATGCATGCATACAAGTCCTTTGGTTGATCTCTTACTCCCCCCACCCCCCCCACCCCCACTTCCCTCTGAAGTTTGAGCATCTGTTGGATGCTTCTCTGTCTCTGAATCTGGTTTTTGTTCATCAGTTTATGCTGTTCATTATATTCCACAAATGAGTGAGATTGTGTGATATTTTTTCTTTCTCCGACTGGCTGATTTTGCTTTGCATAATGCTCTCCATGTCCATCCATGCTGTTGCAAATGGTAAGAGTTTTTTCTTTTTTATAGCAGCATAGTATTCCATTGTGTAGATGTACCACAGTTTTCTAATCTACTCATCTGCTGATGGGCACTTAGGCTTTTTCCTAATCTTAGCTATTATAAATTGTGCTGCTGTGAACATAGGGTGCATATGCCCTTTCTGATTGGTGTTTCTGATTTCTTGGGATATATTCCTACAAGTGGGATTACTGGGTCAAATGGGAGTTCCATTTTTAATTTTTTGAGGAAACTCCATACTGTTCTCCACAGTGGCTGCACCAGTCTGCATTCCCACCAGCAGTGCACGAGGGTTCCTTTTTTTCCACATCCTCGCCAGTACCTGTCATTTGTTGATTTGTTGATGATAGCCATTCTGACAGGTGTGAGGTGATACTGCATTGTCATTTTGATTTGCATCTCTTGGATGATTAGTGACTTTGAACATGTTTTCATATGTCTCTTGGCCTTCTGTATGTCCACTTTCGAAAAGTGTCTATTTAAGTCCTTTGCCCATTTTTTGATAGGATTGATTATCTTCCTTTTGTTAAATTGTATGAGTTCCCTGTAAATTTTGGAGATTAAACTCTTATCGGTGATAACATTGGCAGATATGTTCTCCCATGCAGTGGGCTCTCTTGTTTTGTTGATGATTTCTTTTGTTGTGCAGAAGCTTTTTATTTTGATGTAGTCCCATTTGTTCATTTTCTCCTTAGTTCCCATTGCCCTAGGAGCTGTATCAGTAAAGATATTGCTATGTGAAGTTTCCTCTTTTTAATCAGCAAGTATTATACTAGTTGTAGGCTTCTTGTAGATTTAAAAAAAAAAATCAAATTGAGGAAGTTCCCCTCTGATTCTAGTTGGAGAGTTTTGATCATGCAAGGGTATTGGATTCTATCAATTGCCTTTTATACATCAAGTGATAAGATCATATGATTTTTCTTCAGTCTGTTAATGATGGATTATATTGATTAATTTTCAAATGTTGAATCAGCCTTGGAAACCTAGAATAAGTTCCTCTGTTAGGTGTATGATTCTTTTGATACATTGTTGGATTTGATTTGCTAATATTTTGTTGAGGATTTTCTGTCTGTTTATAAGAAATTGGTCTGTAGTTTTCCTTTTTTGTGTTGTTTTTTATCTGGTTTTGGACTTAGGGTAATACTAGCCTCATAGAATGAATCAAATGTTCTCTCTACTTCTAAATTATGGAAGAGATTGTAGAGAATTGGTATTATTTCTTCCTTAATGCTTAGTAGAATTCACTGATTTCTAAATGTTCATTGGTGATCCTTAAATGTTTGGTAGAATTTTGTCCTGATGATGCCTATCTTTGGAAGGTTATTAATTATTTATTCAATTCCTTAATAAACAGATGGCTATTCAAGTTATTTATTTCTGTGTGAGTTTTAGTAGTTTGTCTTTCAAGAAATTGGTTCATTTCACCTAAGTCAGTGGTTGGCAAACTGCGGCTCAGGAGCCACATGCGGCTCTTTGGCCCCTTGAGTGTGGCTCTTCCACAAAATACTACGTGCGGGCACACATGTACAGTGCAATTGAAACTTTGTGGCCCATGCGCAGAAGTCGGTATTTTGTGGAAGAGCCACACTCAAGGGGCCAAAGAGCCGCACGTGGCTCGCGAGCTGCAGTTTGCCGACCCACCTAAGTTATCAAATATGTAGGCATAGAGTTAGTCACAGTATTCCTTCATTATCTTAATGTCCATGGGATCAGAAGTGATGATCCCACCTTAATTTCTGGTATTGTTAATTTAGGTCTTTCTTTTTTCTTGGTTACCCTGGCAAGAGATTTATAAATTTTCTTTATCTTTTCAAAGAACCAGAAATGTTTTGTTAATTTTGTTTTCTTTTTTTCACTTTCATTTTTTTTCTTCTCTATTTCATTCTTCTGCTTGCTCTAGGCTTAAATTATTCTTCTTTCTTTAGTTTCCTAAGAGAAAGCTTAGGTTATTGATGTTAGATCTTTCTTCTTTTCTCATTTAAGCTAGAAATTTCCCATGAAGCACTACTTTTGCTACATTCCCCAAATTGTGATTTTTTTCATTTAGTTCAAAATATTTTTACATTTCTTTTTTATTGTTGTTGTTTTTCAGTTTGTTTGTTTTTTGTTTTGTTTTGTTTTTTTATCTTCACCCAAGGATATTTTCCCATTGATTTTTAGAGAGAGTGGAAGAGAGGGAAAGACAGAAACATCGATGTAAGAGAAACACATTGATTGGTTGCCTCCTGCACACGCCCTACCAGGGCCCCGGCTAGGGGAGAAGCCTGCAACTGAGGTACGTGCTCTTGACTGGAATTGAACCCAGGACCCTTCAGTCTGCAGGCTGACACTCTATCCACTGAGCCAAACCTGCTAGGGCTACATTTCTTTTTTAAAATATGTCTTTATTGATATCAGAGAGAGGAAGGGAGATGGAAAGAGAGAGAGAAACATCATTGATGAGAGAGAAACACTGCCCCCTACTGGGGATAAAGTCCACAACCTGGCAATGTGCCCTGACCTAGAATCAAACCAGCACCTCTCAGTGCATGGGACTATGCTCAAGCAATTGAGCCACACAGGCCTGGCAGCGCTGGAACTTAAATAGTTTTGCTCCAGACCTTTTGATTCATTCTTTTTCAACTTGCATTAATAAGATAATATTATTGTCTTATATAGCATTAACTTAAACTTGCATAGATATTTATCCTTTTAATTGCTATTTATCCCTTCCTTCATCTTCAGTCTTCCATCTGTAATCATTTTCCAGTTTCCCTGTATCATTTAGTATTACTTTTGGTTCATGCCTGCGGCTGGCAAACTCTGTGTGTTTCTATTTATTTGTAAAGGTCTTTATTTCACCTTTATTTTTGAAGGGTATTTTTGCTGGTTATCAATTTCTTGGCATTTATTTTCTTTCAGGACACTAAAGATATTCCACCAACCTCATGCTTCCATTGTTGCTCTCAAGAAGCCAGAAATCAGCCCAACTTTTGTTCTTTTCAAGGCATACTCTTATTTTTTCTGGCTACTTTTGTTATTTGTCTTTGTCTTTGATTCTATGCAAGTTCAGTATTATACATCTATGCATGAGTTTCTTTTTATTTATTCTGTTTGGGGTATGTTGGACTTCTTGGATCTGTGGATCAATATCTTTCATCAGTTCTGAAAAATCCTCAGCCATTATATCTTCAAACATTGCCTCTGAACACTTCAATTTCTCTTTTCCTTTCAGAACTCTAATTAAACATATGTTAGACCTTCGGTGGTGAATACACATTATAATATACAGATGATGTATTATAGAATTGTACACCTGGAACCTGTATAATTTTTTAACCAATGTCACTCCAATAAATTCAATAAAACAAAGCATGTTAGACCTTATTATACCCTCCCATATGTATTTTACATCTTTTTTTACTACCTGTTCAGCCTTATAGATGGTTTCTTCTGAATATAATTTCAAGTCCTTTAATTCTTTCTTTTTTTTTGTTAATCCTCACCTGAGGATATTTTTCTCATTGATATCTTAGAGAGAGTGGGAGGGTGGGAGCGGGAGAGGAGAGAGAGAGAGAGAGGGAGAGAGAGAGAAACATTGATGTGAGAGAGACACATCAGCTGAATGCCTCCTGCACATGCCGCAATGGGCTGGGGATGGAAGAACCTGCAACCCATGTACATGCCCTTGACCAGGAATCAAAGTGCTTTGGTGCAGCAGTCTGGACTCTTAACTACTGAGAAACACCAGCAAGAGCTAATTCTTTCTTGAGCTGTATTTATTTGGCTGTTAAGGCCATGCATTGAGATTCTAATTTCAGCTAAGATATTTTTTAGTTTTAGAATTTCCTTTTTTTTTTTCTTTTTTTTGCTTCTAGTTATCTGTTGAAATTTCAAGATTGGATTTTATCTTAATACACTAAGTATTTTTGTTTTTATTTATTTTCATTAAATTTATTGGGTTGACATTGGTTGATAGGGTCAGATGTGGATTTCTATGTTATGAGACTGTGTATTGCACTGAGCATTATGGTTTAATAGTCTGTATCCAATAATTCAAACCTAATGGATCTGTTTGTTACCTGTTATCTCTACTGCTTCTCACGTAATTATGTCTTTTTTCTTTGTGTTTCTGGTTATTTTTGGGTGTCAGCATTGTACATGAACATTTGTTTATTGAAATAACTTGAGAAATAAGTTAACAGTATTTTACTCCAGAGAAGATTTTGTTTGCTAGTCCAGTAAGGGTGATTCCTGTATGGAACCACCATAATCTATGTTCAGAGGCCACCTACATGTTGCAAAACCAAGCTTAAAGACTTTCTGAGGGCTAGTTTATTTCCAGTTTGTAATTACCCTTAACCTGAAACATTTTGGTTCCCAGCATTATATGAGTGACAGTTTGTTAGAAAACTACTCCTCTTTCAGTAGGCCTTTGGTGTTGATTTTTTACAAATATATTTTATTGATTTTTTTTTTTTTACAGAGAGGAAGGGAGAGGGATAGTTAGAAACATCCATGAGAGAGAAACATCCATCAGCTGCCTCCTGCACACCCTCTACTGAGGATGTGCCCGCAACCAAGTTACTTCCCTTGACCAGAATCGAACCTGGGACTCTTCAGTCCCCAGGCCAACGTTCTAGCCACTGAGCCAAACTGGTCAGGGCTTGGTGTTGATTTTTGTTACTCTAGTACCTTGAGTCAGCTTTAGATTCAACTCATTTTGGTGCTGGTTTACTCCTTAACCTTTATTCATTAACAGATACCCTCAAGACAAATAAAAGAAAATATGGGTAAATTCCTCTTTGACCTCATGTAGAAAAAGTTCTTAAGTATGAATCAAAATCTAGATGCAAAGAAGTATGATAAATTTGACTACATATTAAAATGTATGGCAGACAATAGACACATGAAAAATGCTCAAAGTCACTAATCATCAAATAAATGCAAATTAAAACTACAATGAGGTATCATCTTACACCTGCCAGAATGGCTACCATCAATAAATCAAAAAACAAAAGTGCTGTCAAGGATGTGGAGAAAAGGGAACACTAGTACACTGCTGGTGGGAATGCAGACATCAGCCATTATGGAAAACAGTATGGCAGTCCCTTAAAAATTAAAAATAGATCCGCTGTTTCACCCAGCCATCCCACTTCTGGGAATATATCCTAAGAATCCTGAAACACCAATTAGAAAGAATATATCCACCCCTATGTTTATAGCAGCATTATTTACAATAGGTAAGATCTGGAAACAGCCCAAGTGCCCATCAGTAGATGAGGATATACTAGTAAAACAGCTGTGGTACATTTACACAATGGAATATTATGCAGCTGTAAAATCGAAGGATCTCTTACTCTTTGAGACAGTATGGACGGACCTGAAATAAGCCAGTTAGCCTTATTTAATAAAGAACACTTGAAAATGAGGGGAGAAAGAACAACCACCCAATAGCAATATGTGGAAAGACATGTACATACAATTTACAATGATATCAAAATAAAATGCAATTGAGAAACTTCTCACCTATCATTTTAGTGGAAATTAAAAAGTGTCACACATGGTAGAAAGGGTGTGGGGGAACACACACTCCTGTATTGCTGGTGGGAAAGCAAAAACGGATCTGAGCCTCAGGGGAGGGACTAGCCTGGAGATGTAATTAAATTGGGAATCTTCTGTGCTTGGAGGAAAATGAACAGAGGTAACTCAGGGAGAGAACATGTGGACTGAGAAGAGAGGAGGCCCAGAAACATCTTAAAGTGGCAGCACAACTTCTGGCGGGCACCACCACCAGACTCCAGTCAGGCACAGCTGGTCTTGAAAGCGGGCTGTGGGGCTGAGTTGCTGAGCACTCTTAGTGATGTAGGGTACCCTCCCTGTGATTAGCTGTCACACCTGGAGATAATGGGTATCTCACAGGGATGGTGGGCGAGGACCTGAGATGCACCAGGTAAAGAACCTGCGGGCAGAAAGCTGCCTCCTGCTGTCAAAGATGTGGAGAAAAGTTTCAGTGAGTACCCCCATGGCCATCACCTGCCTCCCTCCCCCCATCCACTACCACCTCCGGTCTGCAGCAGCCAGGTCTCCCAGGATTTGGGTGAGGGGGGGTTCTAGTTGGGGGTGATGCGACGATCACGTGATCCACCGAGTGCCCACGTGGGCAGCAGCATCCGCCCCCAGACAAATCCCAGAGCCGTTCGCTCCCCTTGCCCGTGGGGTGCCACCTCCCTGAGATGCCCTGGCAGCAGGCGAGGGGCGAGTGGGCTTCCATGAGCCTGAGGAGGCGCAGGCCTGGCCCGGGCCCGCAGGTGAGTGTGCCGGTGGGCCTTGCCAGCGGCCTCGGTTGGGGTGAAGGTGGACGCGAGGATGAACAGCGGTAGGGTGGGGAAGCTAAAGAATCACGGAGATGGGGGAGGAGGTGGACCCAGCGCTGGCGCTGGCGCGGGCAGGTGAGGAAAGAAGACCCCATCACAGGCCCCGCCACCACCTCAACGCCCCACCTCTGAGCCCTCCATCCATTTTCGAGCCCGATATGGGAGGGGGCACGTACCGCAGTGCGACAGTGAAACGTAGGCATATTCTGGAAATAACTCCCTCCCCTCCCCCCACCTCACACGGGGCCTGTGAGGAAATACTGACCTCCACGAAAAAGGGGTGAAGGTGGGGTGGGTTAACTGCAGGGGAGGGGTACACAGAAGCACAAACAGTTTGGAAAGCTTCCTCATCTGGTGCCCCAGGCCTGAAAAGCGATATGGCCACTTGGATGCGGGGCAGGTAGGGGAGGGCAACGTTGGATGTGGAGCGCCCGGATTCAGAAAAGGAGCACCAGTCCACTGAGCGCACAGCCACTGCCCCGGTTTCTTGTCTGTCTGCAGGTCTGTGTGTCTGAATCCAGCACTCTGCTAGGCACAGAAAGGAAAAACCTGTCCAGAATCCCTGCAGGTCAGTGAAGTGGGGGTGAGGCACTGAGGTGGGGTGTGTGAGTGTGGAGGACACAGCTTGGGCAAAATCTGAGGGTTCACCTCCACATATAATATAAACACACCCCATCAGACTGAAGGATGATACAGAAGATACCAGGGCTTGCCAGAGAAATGGTTGGCTCTCGTGTGTACAGTGGGGAAAAGTGTGGCAGAAGGCCAGCTCAGGGGAACCCTGGCCATGGGCCAGATGCCAGTACTATCTGAGCCAGTCCTCACTCTTCCTTGTCTTCTCTTTCTCTCCTCCTCCCCCACCCCACCCCACTCCCTAGTACAGGAAAGGGAGGGAACATCTCAATATGGAAAAACTCTATAATGAAAATGAAGGAAAGCTGGAAATCGAGGGAAAGCCAGAAGATGAAGTAGATACAGAAGATGAAGGAAAGTCAGATGGGAAAGAAAAGCCAGAAGTGGAGGGGAAGCCAGAGCACGAGGAAAAGCTCCAAGACCAAGGACAGCTAGATGACGCGGGGAAACAAGGAAAGCAGAGCAAGTCCCAAGGTGAGGGGAAAGCAAGCAGTGAGGGCAAGCCAGAACCCCAGGCCAAGCCAGAGAGCCAGCTGCGAGCTGCCGAAAAACGCCCGGCTGAAGAGTATGTGCCCCGGAAAGCTAAGCAAAAAATGGACAGGTGGACGGATGATTCCCTCAAGGACTATCAGGAGGACTTACAGAAAAGGCATTTGGGCATTGAGGAGAGGATGAGAGAATGTGGAGATGTGTCAAGGGCTCAGGAAGAGCTAAGGAAAAGACAGAAAACGGGTGGTTTTCATTGGCTACAAAGAGATGTACAGGATCCATTCTTCCCAAGGGGCCAATGGGGTGTCAGGGGAACGAGGGGTGGAGGTAGGAGCCAAAGGGGTGTACATAATATCCCATATCTTTAAAGCCCTTGGACTTCAATTATGATTTCTCTGATGAGAATATTCCAACCCTGCTTTCCCTTGGGCAGGGAGGGGGGACGGTATTTTCCAGGCAATGTGCTTTAACCTTAAGCTGATACTTTGCTGTAGGTGTCTGCCATTCTTGTTACCAGCCACCTTTTGGTCCAACTATACAGTGCTCTCTGTTTCAGTACTGGATTTTCATTCATGTGCATGGAAGAGAAGGTCATGGTACTTTGTAAAACAATAAAACTGTTATTTACAGTGCCAGCCCAATTTTGTAAAAATGTGAATATGTTTGCATAATGCATTTATGCACAGAGAAGACTCTGAAAATGTATACACTAAAAAGCAGGTGGTGGTTTTTCCTGCATGGTAGCCAAAAAGAGGTCTTGCCTATACTCAAAAATAAGTCCAGTCACCTGATGGTTAGGTACCTCCATGCCATTCCTCTGTGGACATGACCATCCCTATGTCATCCCCTAGTTGTAACCATGTCAGTGGGCACTGATGTCCCATATCCTGGGTCCTCTACTGCTCTATGACTCCATCTGTGATTCTTTTTCTTTGCTTTGCTCACTAATCTCCACTTTTTCCTAAAGGATATGGATTATGTTTGTCATAATAAAAAAAATCCAAAAAAATATGAAAAAGAAAACAAAATGAGGAAATCAATACATGATAAACCATCGAAATGTTCAGTGAATTTATGAGGGCAATGAAAATGCTTAAAATTCTTGTCAGAATGTAAAATGATAAGTAAAACACATTATCTCTAGGGTTCATAGCTAGAGGAATCAATCTGGTGGTTTTAACAACTGCTGAGTGGATCAAATGAGGTACTACGTGAGCTGTGTTGGGCTGGCTCCTTTGCAGTAGAAGTAACCTGTATCCTGTCAGACACTTAGGTGAGAGTTGACCTGTGCCCAGAAACAAATCCAAGTAGCTGAGAAGAGGTACCATCCTTCTCTGGATATTACCATATACCCTCTGCTGACAGCTATTGATATGATGGAGTCCTCATGGTGACAAAGGTCCTCTGATTCCCTATAGTCTTCAAAGGGCCAAAACCCCTATTTGACTCCTACAGGAGTGTGGATAAAGCCCATGCCCCAATTTCAGAGTTATACCTACTCAGGTGATACTGCCCAGGGGCTGCTTGGGCCCCACTGTATTACATAGTTCATAGCAAATTAGTCATTACTATTTTTAGTTCATTATATATTTGCTTGTAATATCTTTTCTCTTCATAAGACCTAGATATTTTGGGTCCACTGGGGGCTGTGTCCTGAGAGTAATGTATGGACTAGACAATAGATGGTGATTTGAACTAAACACCACACTGCAGTACCCCAGGGAAATCATATCTAAATTTACATGTCTTTCTTAGTGTGCTTGCTTTCTAAAATGTCTTCTGGCTTGCTTGCTATACAAAATCAAGAGACTTGTCCACCCAGAACTGAGGGTTACACAACTGAGTTCCAAGCTGAAAATATCCCTTCCCGTTCCAAACCAATTCCAACTGAAAAGGGTAATAGTGCTCTTGAAAATATTAAAAACTCTCAATGTGAGACATTTTTATTTAACCAACCAGTATATTCCTTTCTCAAAAGAGACTTTTTAAAAAAATATATTTTATTGATTTTTTACAGAGAGGAAGGGAGAGGGATAGAGAGTTAGAAACATCGATGAGAGAGAAACATCAATCAGCTGCCTTCTGCACACCCCTAACTGGGGATTTGCCTGCAACCAAGGTACATGCCCTTGACCAGAATCGAACCTGGGACCTTTCAGTCCACAGGCCGACGCTCTATCCACTGAGCCAAACCAGTCAGGGCAAAATAGACTTTTCTTATTCATTCTGATATTCCTTACAGTGTAGTTGACACATTTACTTAATAAATTATGATTGAATTAGGAGTCCTGAGTTTAAAGAGATATACCGCTTATGGACTAAAGGCTGAATAGTGTTAATATGATAATTCTCTCCAAAACTGATCTATGAATTCAATACCATCCCAATAGAAATCCCAGCAAAACAGGATTCTAAAAGTTATATAGAAAAACAAAGGACATAGGATAACCAAAATATTTTGAATATGAAGAACAAAATTAGAGGACTCACTGACTGATTTCAAGACTATAAAGCTACAGTATCAAAACTATGTAGTATTGGCATAGGCTAGACCAGGGGTGGGCAAACTTTTTGACTCGAGGGCCACATGGGTTCTAAAACTGGAACGGAGGGCCGGAACAAAAGCATGGATGGAGTGTTTGTGTGAACTAATATAAATTCAAAGTAAACATCATTACATAAAAGGGTACGGTCTTTTTTTTTCAATAGTTTTATTCATTTCAAACAGGCCGGATCCAGCCCGCGGGCCATAGTTTGCCCACGGCTGGGCTAGACATATAGATCAGTGGGCTAAAACAGTTCAGAAAAGGCACATAGGTATATAGTCAATTCATTTTTTAAAAGGTCCCAAAGTAATTCAGGAAACGATAGATTTTTCAACAAGTGATGCTAGAACAATTGGATGTTGTCTTAATTCAGGCTGCTATAACAAAAAATACCACCAACTGCGTGGCTAAAACAACAAACACTTATTTCTCACAGTTCTGGAGTCTGGGAAGTCCAAGATTAAGGTGCCAGCATTTTGGTGTCTGGTGAGGGCCTGATACCTGGTTCATTAACATGTTTTCACATGGCAGAAGGGGCAAGGGAGCTCTCTGGTATCTCTTTTATAATGCGATTAACCCCATTCATTCAGTAGGGGGATCTTGGGATCTAAAGGCTACCAGTCCATATTCCCTTCTACATAGCCCATACTTATTCAGACAGTGAATGTATCCACTGAGGGCATCCATTATAGAGGAAACTGAATAACTGGGAGGAAAAAAATGACCATCTCTGTAGATATCATTCAGCCTTTCCTCACAGCAATCCCAGTGTGCTCAATGAGCCCATGTGCAAAGTGGACATGGAAGGAGAAATAGAGCTGTGCAAAAGCTCAACAATATTGACTCCCCTTACCAACCTTATCTAACTACTGTCACAGCTGAGTACAGAACCAATGCTGAGCCCCTAACATGGCACCATTTCTAGCGGGTACCAGTCATCAATTTGGAAAAAATGATTACAGGAGACCTCTTCCACATGAGAGAGACTACTTTGTCTTTAAATGGAAATAATCATGCTTTTTAAGATAGCAGTTTTATTGAGATACTAGAGGCCTGATGCACAAATTTCGTGTATCAGGCCTCTAGTTTTAGAATATCCTCATCATGCCCCAAAGAAACACTGTACATTAGCAAACACTAAATATTCCCCTCCCCCACTATTTTCCCCCAACCCAGTTACTGGCAACCACTAATCTACATTCTATATCTATGGATTTGGCTATCGTGGACATTTTCTACAAATGGAATAAAAATATGTGGTCTTTTGTGACTAACTTCTTTCACTCAACATGATGTTTTGAAGGTTCACACATGCTGCAGCATGTATCAGTGCTCCATCCCTTTTTACTGCCTAATAATACTCCATTAAATGGTATACCACATTCATTATCTGTTCATCAGTTAATGAACATTTGGGCTGTTTTAATTTTAGCTATTATGAATAATGCTGCTTTAAACATCTGTGAAAAAGTTATTGTTTGAACACATGTTTCAATTATTTGGAGTACGTGTACCTATGAATATAATTAGTGGGTTATGTGGTAACTAGGTTTAAAATTTTGAAGAATTGCTAAATGTTTTTATTTTTATTTTGTTAATCCTCACCCAAGGATATTTTTTCCATTTTTTAAATTTAATTTTTTAATATATATTTTTATTGATTTCAGAGAGGAAGGGAGAGGGAAAGAGGGATAGAAACATCAATGATGAGAATCACCAATCTTCTGCTTCCTACATACCTCCTACTGGAGCTCAAGCCCGTAACCCAGGCATGTGCCCTCAACTGGAATCGAACCCCAGATCTTTCAGTCCTCAGGCTGATGTTTTATCCACTGAACCAAACCAGCTAGGGCAAATTTAATTCTATTTTTTAAAAAATATTTTAAATATTGATTTCACAGAGGAAGTGGGAGGGAGAGAGAGACAGAAACATCAATGATGATAGAGAATGATTGATTGGCTGCCTCCTGCATGCCCCCTACTGGGGATTGAGCCTTCAACCCGGGAATGTGCCTTGATTGGGAATCGAACTATGACCTCTTGGTCATAGGTTGATGCTCAACCACTGAGCCACGCCAGCCGGGCTCCACTGAGTTTTTAGAGAGAGTGGGAGGTAGGGAGGCAGGGGGAGAGAGAGAGAAACATCGATGTGAGAGAGACTCATTGATTGCCTCTTGCACGTGTCCTGGCTTGGGCCAGGGATCAAACCTACAACCCTTTGGTTTGTGGGCCGACGATCTAACCACTAAACCACACCAGAGTGCTAAATGTTTTTAAAAGGGGCTGTACCATTTCACATTCTCACCAACAATGTATGAGGTTCCAATTACTTAATATTCTCACCAGGACTTATTCTTGTCTGTCTTTTGAAAAATCTATCTTAGTGAATGTGAAGTGATATCTCATTGAGGTGTGATTTGCATTGCCATAATGGGTAATGATATCAAATATATTTTCATGGGTATACTGCCCATTTGTATATCTTTTTTAGAGAAATATCTATTCAACACATTTGTCCATTTTAGAATTAGGTTATTTGCCTTTTTATTGTTGACTCATAAGAGACCATTATATATTCTGGATACAAGCCCTTATCAGATATATCATTTGCAAATCTTTTCTCTCATTCTGTGGGTTTTCTTTAACTTCCTGGATGGTGTCTTTTGAAGCACAGTTTTTTATTTTGATTAAGTTCATCTGTTTTATCTTCATTGACTATACTTTGGTATCATCTCTACGAAACCATACCCTACCTATGGTAACCAATATTTACTCCTGTTTACTTCTTCTAAGTTTTATTTATTTATTTTAAAATATACTTTTATTGATTTCAGAGAAGAAGGGAAAGGGAGAGAGAAATGGAAACATCAATGATGATAGAGAATAATTGATTGGCTGCCTCCTGCATGACCCCACTGGGGATCGAGCCTGCAACTCAGGCATGTGTCCTTGACCAAAATCGAACCTGGGACCTTTCAGTTCACAGGCTGATGCTACATCCACTGAGTCAAACTAGCTAGGGCTACTTCTAAGAGTTTTATAGGTTTAGCGCTTACACTCAGAACTATGATCTGCTTTGAGGTGTTTTTATTTTTAACGTTTTTATTAGTTTTAGAGAGGAAGGGAGAGAGAAACATGGATTGACTGCCTCCCACACACCCCCTATCAGGATGAGGCCCACAAACCAGGCATGTGCCGTAACTAGAAATCAAACTGGCGACCTCTTGGTGCATGGTCTGACACTTAACCAACTGAGTCACACCGGCCAGAGATCACTTTGAGTTTTTGTATCATGAAAAGTAAGGGCCCAAATTCATTCTTTTGCATGTAGATATCCAGCTGACCTGGCACCATTTCTTTAAAAACGATTCTTTCCTTATTAAATTGTCTTGGTATATTTGTCAAAAATGCATTGAACTGCCATAGCCAGGTGGGGGTAGCTAAGTTGGTTGAAGGGTCGGCAGTACACCAAAAAGGTTGTGGGTTTGATTCCTGGTCAGGAAGGGCACATACTTAGGTTGCAGTTTCCATCCCTGGTCAGGGCATGTGCAGGAGGCAAATGATCAATGTTTCTCTCTCACATCAATGTTCCTCTCTCTCCTTTCTCTCTCTAAAATCAATAAACATATTCTCAGGTGAGGATAAAAAAATAATAAATGCATTGACCATAAATATGAAGGCTTAGTTTTAGACTCTCAATTATGTTTTATTGATCTATATGTCTATCCTTATACAAGCACCACACTGTCTTGATTACTGTAGCTTTGTAATGAATTTGGAAGTTGAGAACTGTGAGGCCTGATTTCTACTTTTCCCTCAAGATCATTTTGGAGATTCTGGGTTACTTTGGATGTCTATGAATTTTGGTATCAGCTTGTCAAGTTCTGAAAAAATATCAGCTGGAGTTTTGGTACAGATTACAATGAATGAGATCAATTTAGGAAGTATTGACAATTTAACTATATTAAGTCTTACAACCCATGAAGCAGCATATGTTAACATTTATTTACGCCTTCTTTAATTTCTTTAAACAATGGTTTTTTTTCTCAGCATACGAATTTTGCACTTCTTTGATTAAATTTTATTCTAAAGTGTTTTATTCTTTTTGATGCTTTTAAAAGAATCATTTTCTTAATTTTCATTTTCAGATAGTTCATTGCTAGTGTACAGAAATATAACTCATTTTGTATATTGATATTGTATTCTGCTACCTTTCTGAATACATTTATTAGTTCTAAAAGCTGTTTTTTTTCAGTGTGGATACCTTAGGAGTATTATCTACAAGATCATGACTATAAATAGAGAAAGAATTACTTCTTCCTTCCAATCTGGATGCCTTTTATTTATTTTTCTTGCCTAATTGCCTTAGTTAGACCTAGAGTTCAATACTGAATAAAAGTAGGGGGATTAGACATTCTCATCTTCTGATTTTAAGGGAAAAACATTAAATCTTTAACCATGAAGTATGATGTAAGTTATAGTTACATTTGGGT